GGTATGTTGGGGATTTGAGATGATATTTAGTGCCGCGGCGCTGCCAGGGTTTGACGCACGAGAGCTTTCCCCTGCTCAGGATCATCCCCTGGCTCCGGCTAACAAACCGTCCTGCCTGGACTTACTGCCAGCTTGGTTTCAGGGAGGAAAAGCCGCAATACTGCGTTTCACCCTGCACACCCCGGTCTCGGGGCTCGCAGCGAGCTCGCCGTTCAGCTGCCGGCGAGGGAGGGAGAGCCCGATCCCGACCACCGTGGGAAAACACCCAAATCAATGCACGAAGAAAAGAGGGGAACCTGCACGTCACCTGGAGGCCCGGCCTCTGCTTTCTGCAGCGCTCCCGATAACTCCACACGGGATAAGGGAAACTGCACTCACCAGGAAACTCGCTGCTTCCCTCCTAAAAGAGTCCGAGGGGCTGAAATCCAACCCGCACCCACCTCGCAAACGTTTCCAGCTGCATTTCAGCTGCTCTCTTGGCTCTACTCTACAGCTAGCCGTGGAGGAATTACTTTGCAATGCTGCAAACGCCTCCCACATCCCGTTTCCCAGCCTGTCGCTGCACCCTGGTCCGTCCCGGCTCCGCGCTGCTGGGGCAGGATGGTGGGGGGGGTCCCGGGGAGCCCCTGCCCCCCCCAAAACCCCCCCCCCCCGACGTGTACACGGTGAACGCACGCTGCGCAGTCCAAATAAAAAGGACGGCTTTTCCTTTCCTCGTTAACTAACTTCTTGAAACTTTAGGGTCCCGGGGAGAGGTGCACGAGAAGAGGGATGCACAGCCCTTACCCTGCAGAGCCTCCTTGGCGCGCGCCAGCTCCTGCTCCTTCTGCGCCAGCTGCACCTTCAGCTCGGTGGCCGACAGCACCTCCGGCGACTTGCTGCCGTGCGTCTCCTCCAGGTCTTTCGTCAGCATTTCCTTCATTTGCCGGAGCAGGTGAACCTCCTCCTGCAGCTGGGCTACCTCCTCCCGCAGCAGCGCTGGAGGAAGAGGAGACACAATGCGAGGAAGTGACTGACGGCTCCCGGCACTGCCCCTGCTGCAAACTGGAACCCCGGGCAAACGCTGCCAGGGTGACACCACCACCACCACCACCCCCACCCCGGCTTCCGAAACTGCTTTGCGCAGCCCAAAACCTGCAGCACTGCCCGCAGCGCCCCGGGACCGGAGGAGAAGGAGGGACACGATGGGGACGCACCGGGCAGGGGAGGGGGGAGCCTCCACTGGGTACTGGCTTCTAGTTTTTGCATTAAAAAATTAAAAATAAATATTAACACGTAATAGTAATAGTAATAATAATAAAGCAAGAACGACTCTCCATCCAAACCACTCGCTGACGGGGCGCTCATCTGGCCGGTGTCCAACAGAGGCTGCCGAGCTCTGCTATGCCCCCACATGATTCAGCTCTGCCTCCAGCCATCCACACGTTCAGGGCATACTCAACAAAACCACCCTGAGACCGCAAAGGGGCAGACGGCGCTTTTACCTGCAGACCCCGATCTTGAATTTTTCAGATTTACGCCTAGCGACCGCTGCGCCCCTCAAAGCAGCTGCGTCGCAGGAGCGTGCCGGCACACCCCAGCCTGGGTGCCCTGCAGCCCCTCTGCGGCGGGCACCGGGGGAAGCTCCAGCGACCTCGTTTCCCACCACCGCACTCGCCGCTTAGCCTAATAAACTGCTTTTCATGCTACTTCCACACTGCACCCGTCGCCCTCGTCTCCCCTCGCAATCCTCTTCCTGCAAAACGCTTTTTGGACGTGCACTGCCACTGCAATCCTCTACACGAGTCAGACATCGTCATCCAAAATGATTCGTGCAAGCATGCAAACAGTTTGATTTTGCTTTCCCCTCCCTTTGAGAACACGCGGAGAAAAACCCGTCGCTCATCCAAAGGGGCTTATTGATTTCTCGGGTTTGCACCATGCCCCCGGACATGGGGAGAAAAAAAATAAATCCCTCGGCACGCACGTTACACTTACCGGAAAAAATAAAATAGAAATAAAAAAATAAAAATAAACCCCCCCCCCTCCAAGCTACTGCGGTTGGGTCCTTTCCCCCCCTCCACCGTGTATCAGCCAGCCTGGGGGACACCAGCTGGCTATGAAATATAGGGTTTTTTTCCCCCCTTATTTTTGCTAAGGTCCTTCCGCACGTGCAGCGGGCCGTTTCCTTTCCGCCACCGTTTGCGGAGCGAGGCGGGGAGGTGACGCCGGCGGCAGGACGGGGAGAGGCGGCTCCCTCCGGCCTGGCCAGCAGCTGCACCAGGAAGGCATAAAATCTGGTTTGCATTCTTGAAATGCTTCCCGTATGAAAACTGGCAAGGCCCCATTCTGTAAATTATTTAGCAATAAAGTCACTAACGAGGAACAGTCGAGCTCCGGGCTGGGGATTTCGGTGCAGTCCAAAGTGCTTTCTTGAAATCCCTGCAAAAAGCAAGAACCGAGAGGCGGCCAAGGCCAAAGGCATCTTCCCCTTCCCCGGGGGCTGCAGAAATGCAGCTCTTCCCCTCCAGCCTTTGGGAAACCGGGGAGGGGGACGCAAGGGACTCGTACACGGTGTAATATTTACTGTGCAAAACCCACCCAGCGCCTTCCCCGGACACAGAAAGCCCCACGCGACCCCACAAAACACCTGTGGCTTTTTTTCCCCACCGATAATTCATTTGTACCTTTTATTGGAAGATGCTTTGCTCAGGAGATACAGCGGGTTATTCCCCGGCAAATGATTAACCAGCAGAGGAGGATCCAGGCAGGGTAGCTTGCACAAGGGCCACCGACCCCCCGGGATTTCTGCAGATTGCAGCATTTTGGTGGGAACCCAAGAACCTCCCCCCACCGGCAGAGACCCCTCCAGGATCGGGAGAGGGGAAACAAGCCCAAGGAAGGGCAGCCCCGGGGGGAATTCTGCAGCAGAACATCCTAGAGGAGTCCTCCGGCACGGCCCAAAAGCAGATTTGCAGCTGTTTCTTACAAAGCTCCTTTCTACAAAGCGCTGCACAACGCAGCTTCCCCGAAACCGCCCCATTCCCCTCCGGTCTCCGTTCGAAAACGGCGAAAAAACTCAAAAGCATTCCTCCTCCGAAGCGTGCAGCAAGGCGATTTCATCTCCAACTTAGTACTCGGCTCCTGACGCAGGCAGAAACTACTGAAAGATTAAAATCCAAGATGTATAAGAAGCTATAGGTGCAATCTGGAAAGGAGCATGCGGCACTGCACTCCCCACGCCACCGGCTGCCAGACGCATGGCTTCGGCTG